CTACACCCTGAAGTGTTCCTTCAGATTTACAAATTGTGTAGGAGGAGCCAGGTGACGCTGAGGCTGCTGAGGCTGCTGGAGAGTGGGATCGTAGCTGCACAGCAAAATTTAAGGGAGATTTTACCATTTTAATGCTGTTAGTGAAATACTTTTGCGATACTTGAAATATAACACTGTGAGAGGCCATCCTATGTGGTTTTGAGTATATTGGCAGCAGAGAAGGAAGAGGCCTACTAAAGGGATACTTACCAGGTGTAATAGAAAGGAGAAGATTATCTTCAAGACTAAGCGGGAAGTCAGCCAAGGTTATATGCATACCTGCCCATTTAGACCTAATAACATATGTTTAAGTTCACATCTTGAGATGAGTGCATTGGAGGAAAAGTGGTGGGACCCACTTGCATGTTGGTGTAGAATTGTGGTAATATTGAGCATGGAGTAGAGGAAGATATAGATTGGGACATAGGTTGGGATATTCATGGACTATTACCACAAGAGCTGAAGAATCTCTTTTCATGTTTTCAGTTTATAACGATGTTCACAGATTATTGATGTGTTGTTATATATGTATATAATATGTACACATATGTTTATGATATATACACATACTGTATGTTTCATGAGGTTTAAGTGAACTTAACACGCACACCATATTTATATGGTGTGTGCTGGAATGCATGTACTATAGATGTGAGCAGCACCCTTTACACATTATTTATTTATTGCACTTTTAAAGTATTAGACACGTGTAGAATATTTTAGTTTTTGAATCCACTTTACAGTACATGAACTAGGCAGCACAGAAGTTATACATTTCCTTCAGATTTGTCAGCGTTGGGACACCCCCAGTGTCAACCTCTTGCGTTCAGGCTCATTTGGAAGATCTTAAGTTAAGTAATGCTGTGGCTCCTTGGTATGAGTATTCCCTGATTTATACATTGCCATCCCTAAAACATCCTTCCTTGGTTGCTTCCAGAGCTAGAGCGGCAGGGCATTCTATTAGTTCTGGGCACTCCGCTTTGGCTAAGCAATACTTAAATTGTGGATCTCGTTAACCGGTTGCAGACATGCCTTGGCTTCTCGCGTTTGCCTGGATCCCCTTTCTTGGGATCTGATCTGCCACCCTGCTTACAGCCACTGGTCTTAACAGTTTGGCTGTGGCAAGCCTGGTGCTGAAGAAAAGAAAAAAAGAAAAGGACCTGTCTCTAGCTGTCAGTCAAAGATGCTTGGGCTTGAACGTCTACTTCTCTATTCATCTAATATAACACTTGGATGGCTTGCTTTGCTTATTGTCTATGGGGGTTAATCCTTGTAAGTTTTTAGTTACCCGCATTTTGGTCTTATTTCATTGGGGTGTGGAGCCTTGGTTCATCCTCAGTATGGTTAAAGGCCAAGTCTCTGCTTTGGCCATTCTATTTTAGCTTCCATTTTGGCATCCTTTTTTCCTGGTTTATGTCTTTATCCTGGGCTTCACTCGGAAAAGGCCCCTTTTTCACTTCGGGACCTGAACTTTTTTGTTTGCCTTGCAAAAGCAACCTTTGAAAATACCTGGGATATTAACTTCTGAACATTATACAAAAGGTTGCCTTCTTGGAGGCCATCACTTCAGTCCGTCAGGTGTCAGAGCTCATGATTCTTTGCTGTAAGTACCTCTTTTTTTGGTGTTGCATAAAGACAAGAGGGGGTCATCGTACTAGGCTGTTTTATGACCTATCTCAACTGAGATATCGTCCGCCTTCCTTATATCCACATTTCCTTCTGAGAGAAGCAGCTCTTCATTGCCTGGATGTGGTCAGAGCCATTATAGTTTATATCCGGCCAAAGCCTTCATTCAGAAGTCTGGGGTTCTGCTCATCATTCAAGATTAGGTCAAGCTACCTTGTCTACCACTTTTTTCAGTTGGATTAACAGAACAGTGATCCAGTTATACACTCTTCAAGCCGCAAGACTCCTTTCTCAATTACTGTGTATTCTCCCAGGGCATTGTATGATTCATGGGTTTTTCATTATTCTGCTTCTGTTATTCATGTATGCAAGTCGGCTACCTGGTTGTCAGTTGAAATGTTTACCAAGTTTTGTATGGTTTACATAGTTGCCTCAGAAGATGCCAACTTGGCCAGAAAGTTTTACAGGAAGCAGTTTTAGTTCTGTTGTCTTGGTTTTGGGCCCATCCCTTTATTTCTGCCTCTCTGGTACTGCTTTGGGACATCCCATCCATGCAGAAGTAAAGTTGTGTCCTTTAGTGAACCATAGAGAAAACTGGATTTTTGTACTTGCCGTAAAATCTTTTCCTGAGTTCTTTGAAAGACACAGCACCCGCTCAGGCTCTTTTGGCTGTCTCAGTGTTATTGTCTGGGTACTGCTGGCTACTAACTGAATCCTGTCCTAAACATGGTGGGTTTGGTAACCATCAGATGGCTGCCACTCAGGCAAGTTTTGTTTGAACTTGAACGTAGCATCCAACTCCTGAATATGGGGCCGTCAATCCCATTCATGAAGAAGTAAAGCGGTGTCCTTCAATGAGTACAAAAGTCCATTTTTTTTTATTTATGAGGTCTTTAATTCCCCCTTTGACCTGCTGATGAATGGTACAGAGTACTTTGCACTTTGTTTTTAAACACTGTTCAGAAGGTCCTTTTTTATTTTCCAATACAGTGTAAACAACTCCCAGTGCTGTGTACAGCTTCCCATAGACATAAATTGTTGCAGGCATCTGAATGCAGTTATGTAGCACTACTTGTGTAAAATGGTGCATGTGCACAGATGTAAGTTCCAAATGCAGAAAGTGTGTGTTCAGAAACTTACATCTGTATTGGAGAATGCCCTAATATTGCCAATTTGGTGGCGGGAACTGCATCAGGATAGAAAGACAGGGCATAATCCATACTAGGATTCAGTATTTTTGGGTGTACGTAGCACACCCAATGTCCACAATGGGTTTGGATAGGATAATTATTTTATGTATTTTTTTCCAGTGCATAGTAAAGCAGCAATATGGGCGAAAATAATTTTTTAGTTTAGGTAAATTTTAGAAATACAGAATGCATGCTTCTTGGTTCTATGTTTCATGTTTTTTTTCACCAAAGTTGAGAGCAATATAAGGAAAACTGGCACAAAATAGTAACAAAATATTATCTTTAAAAATGTAGCTGTATATTTCTTGCTATTACTATACCTTTTTATCTACCACCAAAGTACAACACAAAAGAAATTCTCCTGCTCCTGATGATCACAGCCATACCACACACATGTATGTTATTTGTTGTTTGTACCTGTAGTAGGGCTCAGAAACAATAGTGCACATTTTGTGTTTTATTTATTTATTTATTTTACAATAACCCTGACAATAGTTATCATTGATACTAATTAAAATCCTGCCTAAAATACACTGATCCTGACTTTTGACCCTAACCCTAACCTTAACCTTGACCTAGACCAAATCCTGATCTAGCTATTTAAAAAAAAATATATATTATTTTTTTTCTTACAGGCAATTATTTGTTTACACTTTTCTCTTCTAGCAAGGAGACAAAGATACAATGTATCTTTTTCTCCATTCAAAATGCATAGGGGCAGGCTGTACAGTGACTGATCAATGCAGTAGCCAATCAGATGATCAGGAAGTGGACCTCCTGGTTCCTGAGTGTTAGTCCACGCTGGGAGTGTGTCATGCAACGCGTTGCCAGCACAAACACAAGTACACATTTGGGGCAGCACAGTGGCTAAATGGTTAGCACTTCTGCCTGGCAGTACTAGGGTTGTCGGTTCAAATCCCAACCACGGCACCACCTGCCTGGAGTTTGCATGTTCTCCCTGTGCCTGCGTGGGTTTCCTCAGGGTACTCCGGTTTCCTCCCACATTCCAAAGAAATGCCGGTAGGTTTATTGGCTCCTGTCTAAATTGTCCCTAGTATGTGTATGTAGGAATGTGAGTTAGGGACCTTAGATTGTATGCCCCTTGAGGGTGAGGAACTGATGTGAATGTACAATATATTTGTAAAGTGCTGCATAAATTGACTGCGCTATATAAGTACCTGAAATAATAATAATAATAATATGTGCCCAACAGAAAAAGAGCCACCTCTGTGAGGTCCCATATATGCATACACTCAGCAGGAAGTGGTTAAAGAGGCTACATTCACACGGGCATTTTAACATGGTGTAAATGGCAGCAGCAGGAATCTACTGATTTCTACTGAACAGTTTTTGACAGTTGTGAGTGACTAGCAGCAGCTCCCTAGCCTGTACACTTCAATGGCAGGTGTCTGTGGCCACTTCTATTCATGACTGTTTCCACAGCCAGCGATCATTTGCAGTGATTGCTTGCTGCGTGTGCTTTGTGTGCTGGCAGGGAACAGGCTTTTCCTCTTATGCTGTGGATGTTAAAAAAAAAATTAAAAAAAACAATAAAAAAGCAAACTAGCTACTATGTTCTGTCATTGGTAACTTTAATTTAGTAATTTAATTAAGTAATTTAGAGTAATTGTAAAAAAGGTATATATTGGACCTACTCACATATAATATCAGGTTGTCTAGCTAGGGATGGGTTGGTTTCTGATGCAGAAAAAAAATGTATGGAAAAGTTTATCATTCCAGTGTATTTCTACTTTTCAGCCAAATTGGGATTATGCCTACTTTATATTTGTTACATGCTCCCATTTACAGAGTGTGACTTTTTTTCTTTTTAACTGTCTCCATTTTAGTCCTTGTATCCGTACATTGCCATCTATTCAAAGCTATAGCAGCTGCCTATAGAGTCCCATGTATAATCTTGCTCCAAGCAAACAACCAAAAAGGTAAGGAATAATTTAGAAAAAATATTTTTGGATATACTGTGTGAATGGGAACACATAACAAACATATAGTGGGGTTTCTTAAATTTGGCTGCAAAAGTAGAAATTCACTTTAGGTACAGCATAATTATGCATTCCAAACTAAAATATTTCTCTAATTTTACCTCTTTGGTTATTTTAGGGGCATTTTAATACATTTATGGAGTACATGAACCAGACATTTGCACGATTTGTTCTTATTGGGCTTTCCACCGACCCATATGTTCAGCCGCTCATTTTTATTATCTTCTTACTGATATATACGGTCACAATCCTAGGGAATGTTCTGATTATTATAGTGGTTAGGATTGGCATTCACCTGCAGACGCCTATGTACTTCTTTCTCAGTAACCTGTCCTTTATTGACCTTTTCTTCTCCACTTCTGTTGTGCCTAAACTCTTAATAAACACTTTGTCCGAAGACAAGAGTATCTCCTTCTTGGGATGTGTGGCACAGATGTATTTCACCTTGGCTTTGGGTGGAACGGAATGCCTTATTTTGGCCATCATGGGTTATGATCGGTATGTAGCCATCTGTAACCCTTTACATTATAACACCATCATGAGCTTAAGGATCTGTGTGATAATATCGACTGGAATATGGGTTTTCAATTTCTCTAACTCTATGTTTTATGCAGTAATCACCTTCCAACTTCCTTACTGTAAGTCGAACGATGTCAACCACTACTTCTGTGAGATGCCTCCACTTTTCCATCTGTCTTGTAAAGACACCTTGATGGAAAAAATAGCCGTATATATTTCAGGATCAATTGTAGGTCTTTGTGCATTTGTGTTGACACTCCTGTCCTATGCCCAAATTATTTTTACCATCTTAAAGATTCGATCCACTACAGGACAGAAGAAGGCCTTTTCCACGTGTACCTCTCATATTTGTGTTATTTCATTATACTATGGTAGCATTGTCTTTATGTACTTACGGCCTCGAGGTAGTTATTCTGTGGAAAAAGACAGGGCAGTGGCCATTTTCTACACAGTCATAACACCTATGTTTAATCCGATTATTTACAGTATAAGAAACAATGAAGTGAAAGGGACAATGAAGAAGCTACTTAAGAAAGAGTTGCAAACCAGTGTGATTAAAATTAGAATCTAAACTGCGTTCTGGGAAAGTTGACAGCTGTTTCCTCTATGAAGATCTACTTTTTTGACCCATGATTTTATATATATATATATATATATATATATATATATATATATATATATATATATATATATAAAAATAATTATTTTTTATTTTTTTTGCAAAAACATTTTAAAAAGCTGGAAATAGTAAAATTGAATATTTGAACACGGGAATATACCAATTAATCTATGTTATGTCTTAGTACAGTATCATAATTAATGATGATGATGTTACCCGGGGTTGTCACCAGAGGAAACAATTTAAAAGTTTTATCCTTCATAAGACTAATATTTTAGGACAATATATCTAGTCATAAGCAATAGGTTGTGTGCTTAGATTAGACATTATCATACAAAAGTGGGAATTAAACGATGGGTAAAATGTTTGGTAGAAGATGTGGACATTAATGTGTTCCAATAAACATGGAAAAATACAGTTCAAATCATATTGTAGATCATTAAGTTTAAAGGGTATGTTTACAAACAGCATCCTAAATAGTCCATTGAGAAAGCTTGTGCCTTTGGTATTTTAACAACACTGCGGGGAATATATTTAATGCATTAATGTTACATTCACCAAACACTCACTGCAAGTGAATCAGTCTCTGTGAATTAAAACACATACTGTATACCAGGAAAATACTTTATATCTGCAGTAAATATCATCTGGTGAATGTAATATTCATTGCTTTATACTTACACACAGTAGATTTCACTGATATTACAGAAACATGGTTTGATTCTTCACAACTGGGCTATTAACAAGTATAACAAAATGTGTTGGGAGGTCGCCCCTTAGTGAATGGTGTTGCAACACCTAGCCATAAAAGTAGCACTCTGACTCTTTACTTTGTGTGGGCATTAACATGCTTCAGGCCCACTTTACTGTGTACCTTTGCTCCACACAATTACCGAAGGATCCTATTCCCTCCCCAACCAGTAGCTAGGTCTGTTCCGACCTGCCCTTACAATAGACTCTCTACTCTGACCTGCAACAAGTCATCTCCCATCCTACTATGACCTGTGATATGTCATCTCCCTCTCTACCGTGACTCTTGATATGTCATCTCTCCCCCTACCCTGACCCTTGATATGTTGCCAGCTGCGATTTCTCCTGCGCTCTAGGGCCCAGACCGGTGGCAAATAGATGGAACCAACACCAGAGCAAGCGACCACCAGTATATTTCACGGTTGTGCAGCTCCAAAACAGGGCTGGGGAAGCCCGATCGATACTGCAAAGTGAAACAAAAAACAAGAAGCGCACCAACCTTGCGCATTACCTCAGTAACAGAATTTATTAATAAAAGATAGGTACTCACAAACCACGAATAAAATCAGGCATGTAGTCCTCAAAGGGACTTCAAAGATAAGAAGCCAGCGCGAATCCCATCATGGGGGTAGACACTCAGTATACTGACGCGTTTCGAAGGAGGAAGAAGGCATAGCCTTCGAAACGCGTCAGATATACTGAGTGTCTACCCCCATGATGGGATTCGCGCTGGCTTCTTATCTTTGAAGTCCCTTTGAGGACTACATGCCTGATTTTATTCGCGGTTTGTGAGTACCTATCTTTTATTAATAAATTCTGTTACTGAGGTAATGCGCAAGGTTGGTGCGCTTCTTGTTTTTTGTTTCACCTTGATATGTTGCCTCCACCCCTTACCTGACCTATAATATATTGCCTCCCTCCTTCCTTGAGCTGCTGGTAGCAGAAAGTTCAAGCATGTTCTCTATCCCACATTGCCTGGGGCACCCACAGAAATGATACTGGATTTATAATTTGACGGCAGTTGCTGAGCAACAATGGAGCTTTACTTCTGATCAGCAACTGCTGCCAAGTTGTTACTCCATGTAGAAAGTTCAATACAGGTGCTAATATAGATTTGTGAAGTCGCTGATTAATCTGAGTCCATTCAAATGTATCTTGTGTTAAGTCCTGATAAAGGAAAAGTGGTGTTGCCCCCAACCTACATTGGCTGTTTTCATACGCCTTTTTTTTTTTACCAACGAATAAAATTATCTCTGACTTTTTCATCTGGTTTTGGTCTGAAGCTCCTTTCTGTATTTTTACAGAGCAAGGACAATGTCGTCTTATTACTAGTCTATGGACACATCATATGAAAATACCTGGGGTGTAGCGTTTTTTACCATATAACTACTACAGATGTCAAAAGGTTTTGTATCACATAGTTAATCAATATTTTATATGGGAAAATAGCAGGTCATATCGGAAGATGCAAAAACAGTTCTGTATTTTTCACTTCAAAACTTCTTTATTCAAAAAGTGTTGCAATGTACATAGTAAGACCATTATTCAGAGTTAGTCTGGCTGAAAAAAGACAAAAGTCCATCCAGTTCAACCATTAAATTAAAAAAAAGTTGTAAGTACACCCACAGTTGATCCGGAGGAAGGCAAAAAAAACCCAGCAAAGCATGATCCAATTTGCTCCTGCTGGGAAAAAAAATTCCTGCCTGATCCCCCAACAAGCAATTGGATATTCCCTGGATCAGCCTTACCTATAAATGTTAGTATCCAGTTATATTCTGTGTATCTAGGAAAGAATCCAGGCCTTTTTTAAAGCAATCCACTAAACTGGCCAGAACCAACTTTTGAGGGAGTCTATTCCACATTTTCACAGCTCTCACTGTGAAGAAACCTTTCCGTGTTTGGAGATTAAATTTCTTTTCCTCCAGATGTAAAGAGTGCCCCCTTGTCCTCTGTGATGACCTCAGGGTGAATAACTCTACACTGAGTTCACTATATGAACCACTGATGTATTTATACATGTTGATCATATCCCCCTTAATCTCCTCTTCTCAAGAGAGAATAAATTCAGTTCCTCTAATCTTTCCTCATAGCTGAGCTCCTCCATGCCTTTTATCAGTTTGGTTGCCCTTCTCTGTACTTTCTCCAGTTCCCCAATGTTCTTTTTGTGAATTAGTGTCCAAAACTGAACTGCATATTCCAGATGAAGTCTTACTAATGATTTGTACCGGGATAATATGATATCTCTCTCTCTGGAGTCTATACCTCTTTTAATACAAGAGAGGATTTTGATCGCTTTAGAAACCGCAGCTTGGCATTGCATGCCATTATTAAGCTTGTGATCTACCAGAATTCCCAGATCCTTCTCCACCATTGATTCCCCCAGTTGTACTCCCCCTAGTATGTATGATGCATGCATATTCTTAGCCCCCAAGTGCATAACCTTACATTTTATCAACATTAAACCTCATTTGCCACATAGTTGCCCAATTAAACAGTACATTGAGGTCGGCTTGTAAATTGAAGACATCCTGTAAGGACGTTATTCCACTGCACAGCTTGGTGTCATCTGCAAAGACTGAAATGGGATTTTTAATCCCAGACCCTATATTGTTTATAAATATATTAAAAAGTAAGGGTCCCAACACTGAACCTTGGGGTACACCACTGATGACCCCAGACTATTCAGAATATGAATCATTAACCACTAAACCCTGAATACGATCTTTTAGCCAGTTTTCTATCCATTTACATACAGATTTTTCCAAGCCCGTAGACTTTACCTTACACATTAGCCGTGTGTGGGGAACTGTGTCAAACGCTTTTGCAAAATCCAAGTATACCACGTCCACCGCCACCCTTCTGTCCAAGGTTTTGCTAACCTCCTCATAAAAAGAAATCATTTTTGTTTGACAACTTCTGTCTTTCATGAATCCATGCTGTCTGTTGCTTAAAATATTTGTTTCCAGCAAGAACTCATCTATGTGGTCTTTTATTAAACTCTCAACATATGAGAAAAACTTAGGTCAAATATAAAAATTTGTAAGGTAACAATGACAAATCCAAAGATATACAGCATTCGTGTATAGATTATAAACAGAGGGTTGAGGTACTAGCGGGGGCCTAACATGCAGGATCAACATACACAAGTTTAGAACTTTGAAATGGTAAGGCAATCATTTTTCAAACACATGTATCTGATAGTGCAAGCCATCTAGCCCATACTTTATTGTATTTAGTGGGCAACCTCTATGGAGGTAAATAAGCTTCTTGTAAGGAAAGGTGAAGTTCATCTCTCACTTCCAATAATCTAATAGGGGGGGGGGGGTTGTGTGCATCCAAACCTGAGCAATGACCTTTCAAGCAGAGAATAATGTTTTGTGAAGAAATGTGGTGAGTTATTTGTCTGTATCAGGATCTGGAAGGAGACCAAGCAGACATACTTTTGAATCCAGAGTCAAGGGGAATCCCATTGATTATGTCGGAAGTGGACAATCTGGGTCCAGTAGGTTTGCACAACAGGACAGGAGCAGTTAAGGTGATAGAATGTACCCGTATGAGTCATACATAAGGAATATAGTGGGTTTTGAGTGGGCTTATATATCTGGATACACGGACTGGAGTCAGGTAGGCCTTATGCAATATATACAACTGAGTCATGAGATCAGTAATATTAGGGGATACAAGTTTGTAATTGTCGAGTATCTAACAATTCTGTATTTTAAACACGTGAACAACCCTAACACACTAAATGGTTACCAAAACTGCAGTCTATCTACTCATTTGGGAGATTAAATTCTGTTGGGAAGGTAATACATAGTAATTGCACTGAGACAGTATACAGCCAGTGCTTTGGGACCAGTGATCATAAATCCAAAGCATAGCATATAAGATTGCATCTAACAAGCAAGACATTTGCAAGAAAATGAATACCTTCACACAGGTAAGTTGCACAACACCAAACCAAAGAGACAATATGTTTAAGCTATGCAATTTTATTTATTAAGGATGGACCTAGTGAATTTCTGTAACAGGGTTCAGGGAGAGATTCTTCATCTCTGCTTACATTTCATATTTGTAAAATGTAATGTTTATATTGTATAGTATATTGGTATTAGTACTCAATATAACTGTCTGGGACAAAGTAAGGTGCTAATTTTTGCTCTTTTTTATGTCTATCAACAAACATAACAGTCAGCTTTTTC